TGTTAAATACAAACATAACCCCCGAATCCGTAATCCTTGACAAAATCCTCGCGTCTCATTTGCCTGTTTGTTGCCACACGCTGCTGTCATTTGCCACACGGAGGACTAAATGTTCATCTAGTCTATAACAACAAAGAAAAAAGACTAATAAAAATAACAGCATTAAGAGAGCCGTCTCGACTTCATTCCTCTTACGCGGCCGTCCGTGGAGTACGTACACGCTAACCCAGCCAACTATCATTTCCAGCCGTGCTCGCCATTTTGATCGGTATCATTACGCCATAGAGGCGACAATGGTGTGAACATCAACGTGGAATAGTACCATCAACTGTTTTCCCGAATGTACCACTCGGCTAATTGGTTGCGCAACTCTCCGCGAAACATCTTTGTTGCAGCAATTTATACGTGAGGTGCATATAAACATTCAAGCAAATATTGTAATATGTTTGACGTATTCGACAATAGAAATCAAACCGTAAGACAACAACTTAAGATTCACAAAGAGCGCACTATCTGAAGTAAAACGAAATCGCGTTGTCGTCGACTACGGAACGTTTAATGTGGAATTAATAAATGACATTTAAGTAAACTTGAACAGAGTCGAGAAAGGCGAGGCGAAGGGTTAGAACCCTAAGGCACGCTTGGACAAGTAGTTATCGGCCAGGATTTCTTATTGCATTTAATTCACAATACGATAAAAACGATAGTGACGGCAATACTTGTTTATGGGTGTTTTTGTTAAATTTATAATATACAAATATTTTTATTCATACCTTTGTTAATGTATGTGGAGTGAGGTACATTTAGTTACACGATAACGGGCTACTAGTTCTATTTAGTTTGATCGCCACAAATAAGTGAAAGACAAATACAGTTAGAACAGCTTTATTTAACTTTTCATGAGGCAGGCAGTACGTAATTAATGTATTCAATATTCCAGTAACAATTTAAATGACAAGTCAAATTAACAAACCCGTTTATATAAAGGCGAATTGATTTTTGTCAAAGAATGTAAAATTAATTTGCCAAAGGCATTCAAATATTTGTATTTTTTCGAAGACATTCTTCCTTAAATATTTTATGTATTGCAATCACTCATCAGTTATCAATTTAGAGAGGTTTGTCTAAAATCTAAGTCCAGGAGAGACGTTTTTTTGACTTACTCCAACATTAGCAACGGATAAAAACATAAGTTTAATGTCACGAATTGACCAACTCTTCACTACCTCATCTTTCTGATGATAAGTAGCAATTTTGTCATTGGTGGTAAAAGAATTAACTCGGTGGACGCCACTCTCGCAACTACTGTTGTATTCTTGTATTCTATTCACCCTTGTATTCTTACAATATATTTATAGGTTCAAGCTCATAATAAATCCAGATATTATCTGAATATATCTGTGTATGTAAGCAAGCTGCTTCATTACTCCCTTATAATAAATGTAACAGCCCAGATAAACACGCCCTTGGCTTAGTACTAAGCCTGTCGTGCGACATCGGCCGCGAATGGCTTCCGCTCGTTATTAAACATCCTATGGCGATATTATAAAGCCGGGCTAGACACCGAAGGTGCTAGTTCCTCTCGTGGTTTTATAGCAGAAACGTTGGTGGGACCGAGGTCAAGCGATCGGCAACAATGGAATGGGCCACATCCGGCCGAGCGGCATTAACATAATATCGCTTCCACTAAGGAACTGCTTATAGGCCGTAGATACGCCGCTAACCGCCACTGGCGATTCATGAATAGTACCAGTTATTTTGGTGCCTTCATATTGTTCTGAGCAGTACAATGAAAGAAAGGAAAAACAGTTTTAAATGTACTGTAAAGGAGGAGAAATGTCGTACTCCAAGTAGGAGGAATTTAGAAATTCGGCACTCTGCAATTAAGTTTCTAGTCAATCAAGTTTTAAAGAATTACTGTTATAATCAAGAATTATATGCGAAAATTTGGATTAAGTGAAAATGGAGGATAAGTAAATCTAAAGTTGTTTCAAAAGCTTTATGGTCTTAACTGACCAGCATTTGTATATTGATAAATTAAAAAATAATAAATTAACAAACGCATTCAATAAAAAAAACTAAAACTTCGCTTCGCTTTTATAAGAAGACGAAAACGAGCACTCTGAAGCTGCTATATAAATTGTTTCAATGCTAATCGTCTATAACTCTTATCGACAACACAACGAACCGATAATCAATAAACATGCTAACAACCAATTCTCAATGATTATTTAACAAACCGCGGTATAAATAGCGTTTTTGTACAAGTAATTTGAATGAGATTAAGACTGTGACGACAGGCTAATGATGCGTGAAATATTAGAACATATTGATTCACATTCTTTTCTTTGCTTGCATCATTTTCTTTGAAGCGCTTTCGATGCACATACATTTATAACTTTAATTTTACTGTACAGGTATAAAGATATATCAAGAAAGCGTAAAAAGAAGGAAAACAAGATGGTAATACAATAATTCGATGATATTGAATAGCAACTAGTGTTACTACATTATCGCGTGCCCTGGTCTAATACATGTCATAATAATACGCATACATGTACGGCATTCGTTTTGATGAATAATTGTTAACAGAATTGTTGAAAAGGACACTTTAGACCAAAAAACTATGGCTAAAACAAATACATCTTATCTTGTATTAGCTGATGTTAATGCTTTCAGTCCCGAGACTATTAAAGCTTCATCGACGCAGAACGGGTGGACTAGCCAGAACCCACAGGCTTGAGGCCCTCCTCAGTGGGTAGGGCCGTGCATGTGCTCATGTGTACGTTGGCTTAGATAAATACATCTATTACGCATGTATATTACTTGGAAAGAGTCGGATGTGAAAAAGTAATAAGATAACGCGATGTGGAAGAACGACAATTGGTCTTTTACGCATTGCCTAATCAAAAGATTTGGATTTAAACGAAACCGGCTATAACGATATTATTTTGTCTCTACTAATTATTGTAGATTAAGCCATTTAAATTCTTCAATCGATAACGAACTCAATAACAATGAATTGTATCTAATCTTATTTAAAAAAATAATGATAAATTATTAGAATTAATTTTTCAGACACTGATTGTTTATTTCATTATTGTTTACTCGACAACGTAACAAAGTTACTCACAAGGCGGCGGACCTTTACCTCATTTGTGGAATATCCCCAATCGAGGTGGTACGAGCCTATGTACTATCTAAAACTGTACATTTTATTTGTAGTTAATTAGTATATATACCTAGTGAATTTGCACCTTAACGGTATGCCCTATTACAATGCTTTACACTCAACATACGAAGGGGTCGAGAGATTTTACCTGCATAATTAACAGCGCGTCAAGAAACAGACCAATTATTCCCTGAGAACTCCATCAGCGAGATTAGATTGGAAGCCCGTGAGATCGAAACGTAGAGTTATTCTATTTGAGATTTCACAAAAATATTGAATAAACATAATGGGCCCCGTCTATTCAATGGCGGGTGCACATTAGCAGGCGCGCAGCATAATACCCGGTCCGTCCGTAATGAGAGACAATAAGCCGCATGCCGCTTTACGTTCCCCCATTGTCGAAGCTTGACGGCAACCCGAGTTATAATTGCATATTTATGCATAAAATATAGCGGCGGTAACACAATTACTATTGAGTAATTCGCGCACGAATTACTTACTACACTCGTCATAGTGCGGTCGGGTGCGGTTGCGAAAAGTTTGCATCCGAACGCCAACGGCAACAATGGTCGCATAAATATTAAAGGTCAGTTCGAGTTGGCCGCCAACGGGCGCTCGCCGCGCCCGTGTGTCAATGTTTCGGAATCGATGTTTTTACGGCGTCAGAGCTGTGTTAAAATTAATGGGACGACGTCGCGTAATGGGGAAATCGGCGTGGCGATTACGAAAATCGTCTCGAGAATTGAGTGGAAACCTAGTTAGGGGAGTTTGTTTAATTACAAGCGTATAAACAATAGAGTAGTGCAATTAGATAAGTAATGGGAACCGGCGGTGCGTTCGGCAGAGGCCGCGTCCGTTCACATGTCGCGCGGAAACAATGGCGCGGACTGCGAGTCGCCTTTTCGAATTAGACACGGCGTTCGCGATGTTTCCAGGATCTCGAGATCTTAAAAGCTTTTAGCTATTACACACATTTCTCCAACTTCTTTTATAATTCAAGCTGACGGGTTAAGCAAGTCGTTCGTGAGCCGATGACTCAACATACTCTATTATATGCGATAAAATACTAGCGTCACTCATTAATTGCCGTCTCTGACCTTAATGAATTTCTTTGCCAAAATGTATTTAATATACCGATAATACTGAACCAATAGTTCACCATTAACCTCCACCGAAGCTGCAGCAGTTAGTAAAAGCGTTAGTCACACCGTTTAATCCGCACCAGGTCCAATGCGACATCGAGATGTACGAAGTGATAACGTGGCGCCTCAACCCCCAGTGCGAGATACCACTCTTATCCGATCACATCTCGCTTAACTTAACACAATAATCCGACAATGCCATTCACGGATTGCATATGAAATATCGATGTAAAGATGGTCGTAGATTCGACGATCTGCGAGATTCTAATTACGGCTATCGCCGGTCTATTAACAACCTTCGGGGTCTACTTGATTTATTATCCGATTAACGAAGATAGACTTTGTTAGTGTAAGCCTTACTTCGTCGTGCGGCGCGGGCCGTTCTCTTGCAGCAGCATTGTTCGCTGCCGCGTTACTTTCTAAAACAAGTCGGATGACTTAATTATAATTACTTTATCAACATAAATTGTGCCAATGTGTCGATGTGTATTATTGACAAAAATGATTGTTTATATTTGTTAGTTATATGGACTGTAAGTAAGCTGCTTAACTCTTTAAACTTTATTATTACCGTATAAGAGAGTTGAATACAACGCGAACTTGTGATCGGATAAGTGTTAGTACGTTGCCGTTAGTGCCGGGTGCGAGCGAGAGCAGTGCATTGCGTACAGTCCCCGCGGACTCACCGGCGCTCGTCCGCGTCTTGTTCGGACGCGGTTTACTCTGCTGCTGACTGTACCCCTTGCCCTGATAGCCGTAGTAGTCGCCGCCGGCGGCGTTGTACTGCGCGCCGTATTCCCCGGAGGGCTGGCTCGACTCTTGGGGGCACGTGTCGGGCTGCGCACCTTCGCGCTGCTTCGTCGGGGGCGCGCCCATCATGGGCTTCACGTCGCCGCACAGCGGCAACTCCTGCTGCTGCATGAAGGCGACGCTCATCGCGGTTGCGTGGGCGACCGCCGCCTGGTAGTCCTGCTGGCCGAGGGCCGCCGCCGCCACGGAGTCGGGGGTGGAGTCCTTCGGCGGCGTGGGGGGGAACGAGAACAGGGGGTGGGGGTGGTGGTGCTGCGCCGGGGAGAGGGGCTTGTCGGCCTGCGCCGCGTCCTGCTGGAAGCCGCCGCCCCACGCGCCGCCGCCGAGCGCCTTCGAGTCCAGCCACGGGTGGAGCGGCGTGTGGAAGTGCGGCCGGCACACCTGACCGCTGCCCCCGCTCAACGTTCGACCTGCACATCGAAGGAAGCTGTTAATTACTTTACTACTTAGTCATAAAATGCTACGTATTCAAATACGGCAGTTTGTCGTTTTCCACGTTATGTACCGCCGTATGTATTAAATCAGCTACGTGTTCTGCTTCCACTCTTCATCACTATATTGCCAAACAAGTTTAATATATGTACGTTTTATATCTAGGACGTCTACCAATGTCTACCAATTTTTCCGATCGCATACAAACACAAAATTCTTTGCGTCCGTCTATCTTCATTCAACACTGTGTATGTGTGTATTTTCTGTCTGACATTCTGTGAAAGACCATTAAGTGGAGAGTGTATATAATCATGCCACTGTTAATTTGAAACAAATTATTTTTAATAAAAACAATTTTTCCTGAGACCTTCAATTTAGCAAATAGTTTGATAGGGACATTATTGTATTATGTTAGAAACTGTAAATAAGTAAAAAAAGTGCTTGTAAACATGGCTTTAGATTGCTTGCTTCAACTAATAACTGTTGACCAACTCAAAACCAAGGTATCTGTATCAGATACCTCGTCCCGAGTACCATGGTCCCATCATTAAAGCGACCTGAGCGCTCCGTCGGAATTGATATGATTTGCCTTTAACGGCGGCTCTTTCACACGACATCTCTATTCACGAAAATCGTAATTGTGTACCGCTGTGTACACGTCCGCATTAATGCGTATTTGATAAACAAATAATGGCTGTTTGCTCGGGTCTCGTTGACCGCGCGCTTGAACAAAGGCCGGCTCTTTCCGAAATCGTTACAAAAGCGCTGTGTCACAACGTCGGACAATTAAAAATTGTGGGCCAGCTGGAAATTTCATTAATTAGACAACTAAAAGGTGATTAATATTTACACCGTAACAGTTTTCGGTGTTCCCACATTTTTACCATTGTGCAATTTTCTGTTTAGATCATAGAGATTCAACACATAGAAGATATGCTAAAAGATTAAACTTGGAACATAGGAACACACATAAAATGCTTGAAATACATTAATAAATGACAGACAGCTTATTCAGAAAACAACGAAGAAAATTGTACGCTAGCAATAAGGGTATGATAATATTTAGGTAACAAAATGTTTTAAGATGATTGCTCTAATTATATTGGGTGCAGGGTTATCAGAAGCGGTCGATTATCCTTACATACTTTGTATCAATAACATACTTTGCATCATCTTAAACAATTACTTTCACTAAAACGTGGAAAACCAGAATTTTTGGGAAGCTACAAAATTATTAAGCTACGTGCTGTCTTTTACACTAGTCTGTTATGTTCGCTTCAAGATTTTCCCTTAGTTCAAATATGAACTATGCAAGTAAAATTATGACTTATTCTGTTTATGCGAATTCAGCACATTGTTAAATGCTGAATTCGCCATACCTACTGTGAGTACAGATTTTATCGCTTTAATTTACATTCAGAGTCATGACAAAACAGTCTGTCCCGTGACCATGTACACACACCATGTAAACAGTTCAAAACGTCGGGAAAACAAAATTGTATATGTGACAATACATAATTAACACAAACGATATATAGCATTTATGTTTTTAAACCAGAAAATACTTTAGGAAGCAAAAGTATCCTTGTACCTGTTACCGACGCTATTGATGACGAGTGTTAAAAATATTTTTTTAAAGTTGTAGTTTTTAAGTATTTCGACGAAATCCTATGACTGATGAAGCATATAGATGCTAGTGATAGAACTATTACAGATAGTAAACAACGACAGCTTGAACAGACGAAAACCAAAAGGCTATATTCTTACAGCGTTTTTCCGACTACTCTGAAGATTAGTGCAACAGTCATTTGTGCAAGAAGACTTTCCGTTGCGAGCCTTGGTGTCGCGACCACTTTCCCTGAGCACTTTCATCTCAACCGCCAGAAGGAGTGTGATTAAGTAGGTCAGTTTAGTCCTATCACAGACCACTTTGGTGTTATGATTATAGTTGATTGCGATACCTATCAGTCCATTGGTGTCTATATTTACGATCTTATGCTCTTTCTTATTCTCTTTCTACATAAGCCCGCAAGTTTAGCGTCATTGTTTGCGTTACATACGGCTTTAAATAGGCATGCGACTGGGGGCACTACGCTTGCACCCCATTGAATTTGATGAGACGCATTCGGCAATTATTATTTATAGAAGTGAAAGCGAACATATGTACGGCGGTTCAAAAGGGCGCTGGTTGTTTTTCGATTGGCCGGCGGGAGCCAGGGGCCCTTCCCTACGCGGTACCCTACGGTAGTGCGGTAGAGCGTACGATTGACGCGCCCCCGTCGAGCGCTGCGGGTACCAAATCGTTAGTTAGCAACAGCCGATTCGCAGCGTAACCTATGTTTATCGAAGGGGCCGATAAATCACTTACGGTTGCTAATTATCTGGGCATTTCCGTAATATTTCTATTAAAAAAATGACGACGCTGGGTTGAACTGTAAATAAAGGCGAAACAGAATTCCTTGTGTAACACTAACCAAAATCCTGGATAATTCAAATGACTCCAGGGAAGCTTCTCGAAAATCGAAGCTATTGAAATTATTAATTATAAATTTCCAGCATGGTTTTTAATCGCTACAAAGCTTAGCGCTTTGCACAGAATATCACACCTATTTTTACTTCTTTATCTACTCCTAATCCCGGTATTTGATGTCGAGTCTTCACACTTTTCTGTGACAAGTTAGATGATTTTAGGAATACATATGTAAAAAAACCGCGAATAAATATAACGCAAAAAGCTTACAAATGAATAATGAAAGTGAATCTATTGCAAATCTCGAAACAATAGATAATATAATTAGTATTACACAGATACGTGAGCTTACACGAGACTCGAAGGAACAATTGATTCATATAAGAGAGTGAAATTTTAAACTAATCTATGTCTCATTACGCAAAACTCCGTTATATTTAAAATAATATTTTTGTAGCTAAATTAACAAAAACTTTTTTAAGTGTCATCTTGAGTTCAGAGACTTACTAGCACTAAAAATAAAAATGAATCCTAAAAACTCAGTTATACTGTTTAAAAATAAGGTTATTTAATTTAATTATTTAAAAGAATCAAAATACGCGGAGAAAAATTTAATCCCAACATTAGCCAACCGCCCGCATGGCTTGCATCCAGGTGCCGATCGTAATGAAGATAACGGACGATCCTATCGCAAGGGCACCCGTACATCGCGTCCTAACTACGAGCGTGACACGGCGAAATGGACTATACGAGGAATGAATAACTAAATTTTAATTATCTCCCGAACATTTTCAAGCTTTGCATGATAAAGCTAAACAAGTTTAAAGTTAATTTCTAACACACCTGTTTTTATGTACTCTATCGATATTGTAACTATTGAATGAACGGGGTAAGAGACACTTAATGCTATACCTTTCACAAAAGTTACTCCCTCACTTGCGGTTGTTATAGATAGATGAAAAAAAAGAAAGTGATTCTCTGAAACTATCAACTACTACTTAATATTACCAAATTCATACTTGTAGGCTTACTATCGATGAAAAAAAGAGTTTGTGAATACGACTTCGAGACAGAAAACAACGCAAATCTACATATTTTCGTCGTTTTCTTTCTCGATCAATCCTACATGCTCAAAAAGGGTGTTTCGTGTTTGGCGTTAAGTATACCTTATACCTTTCAAGTAAATTTAATGAATAATATCCATCATGAATTTGACAAAAGGACCATATACGTCCTCGAATTGTTGTAACGAATACGCAAGGAAACTGAACGAGATCCTTCCCGAGTTGAGCTTAACCAGTAGCTTATTATCTCATATGTATTGCAAAGTTCAAACGTAATAAATTTCAGTCATCCCTCATTACGCGGCCAAACAATCAATCGGCGTCGCATTAGGCTGAGTGCACACGGCGCCCGGGCGGCGTCCACGGCCGGCGACTACCCTCCGCTACAACAGCAGCGATGGCGGAGCGATAACGCGCGTATGAATAATTCCCTTTATCGCGCCATCTCGCCACATGCCCCACCTGCCCGCTACCCCGACACGTGAGGTGGGCGAGCGACCCGCTCCCCGTTGCGCTTCGCCCTCGGAAGCCGGCGACGCGGGGCGGGAAACAGTCGCGTGGTACCGGGCCACCACCGGCGCTGTTATTCATTAGAGGGCTGCGAAGTTTCGGCCATTGTGCCAGATACGCTGCGCCACTAAGCCACGATTATACGGGGATTTCGGCTGATAGAATGTTTGTAAAAAAATTATGTTGTTAAAAAAAAACCAACGGAAATTTCAATCGGAGACTATCTAAGCTGTAAAGTTTAGCTGTAAATCTCCAGTTCGGTAGCGATTTTTTTCTGTAGAATTATATCATGTATTTACGAATTCTGAGCTGTAGTTATAGGACTTTATAGATTTTTATTAGTGACCGCGATTTTTAACGTTCATAGGGAATTGGAAGCAAAATTAAAAGCGATGCAATTATATAAATACATGTACATATTTAGGAAAGTTATGATTTTTAAAGGATCATGTTTTTCTTACAAAATAACCGACACTTTTGATAATAAGTGATAACCGCGCATCATGGGGAACGCTTGCTATTGCTCTAGAATAAACGATCGCCTTGAAATCCCCTTTATAGTAACAATCCGTAAATAAGCATGAATGTGTAAGAGATGTAAGGTTTGTGTACTAATGCAAATTTGGTTCCATATGTGAAAAATTCAATCACAGTCGAAACTAAGCCCGTTGCCGGTTCTCACAGGCGCGCGCGGAAACAAAGCACCGGAATCGAACCCCTGCACTCATGCCCCCCGACCCGGAGGCAGATGCAGCGCGAGATCTTATCTCCACTCCACTCTGCAGGACACTGCAAGTGTTGTTAAAGCGACGCTTCTCTTGTTCGGCTGCTGTAACGGTTTCGCAACCCCTTCAAAAGGCATTGCTACTTTATTTTTTAATTCCGCCATAAGAATAATAACCATTGCATTTAAAATGGAAATGAATGCAATTCAAGTAATTAAATATTTGAAAACGAATGATTGTGAACGTACTATATACTTTATATATCCCTGTTATATAAAGTATATAGTACGTATGTTATTACAAGAATTGTCTCTTTTATGGATTGAATACTGGGTAGGTGTAAACTATTGGCTTTAAGGCGTTAAAGTGTTAGTCGTGGGTTCAACTCTGGCACAAGCAAATGCAACCTGAATGGTTCTCTGCGTGTTTGTTAATGTGAAATTGATCTATGGAAACGTTCTTACAACACAGGATAATGTTATCCGACGGTAATATTTTTATTATTTTTAGGATATGCCAATGTCGTCATGGTTTTTTCCTTCACCGTTCAATACCGTTTCCATACGTCTTTCCGACTCAGTTTACAAAATAAATTTCGGACAATTGGTAAAATTGTTTAAATTGTTTAACTTCGCCAGACCTCTTAGATTAACAAATATTATATGAAATATGGTGTTGTTATTAATGCTGTACGTGCATAAAAGTCCATCGTTGAAGTAATACTGTTTGAATAAATCACATTATTATATTCTCTTTTAATATAAACGACAAATTGGCTAAAAGCGTTCATTTCGTCACTGAATGGTCTTAACCTTTAAACGTTAATATGAAACAGCCTTCGACAGTGATTTTAAGACAAAGATATTATAATGCCTTCGATATTCCAAAGAAAGTAGACCTAAAATATTTACCAATTTTCTTTCTTTTTAAAAAAATGCCGTCATTGTAGGATAACATTATCAAGCGTTATAAGGACGTTTAACATATGAAAATTTCACGTGGACAAACACCTAGATCCGAAGCAATTTATCTATGGGTTACACAAATAGCTTTTCCGGGTGGGAATCGAACCAACGAATAAGAAGAGATGGAGAAGTCTCAAAAAAGTGTCAACCGCCTATCAGGCAATCCATGACAACCACCACGCCAGGAGTATACAAAAAACAAGGAAACAGACTACGCTACTTTTACACCCGTGGCAGAGCCATATAACAGCATCGGCTATGGCATAAATGGAGTGGCTCAGACAACCGGCGTAAAATAGAGGTATTTATATTTACCCTTCATCTGATGATTAAAGTAATAACCCTTAAATGTTGGTGATACAGGAGCAATGTGATAGGTGGTGCATCATGTGCGGTAATCATTTGTGTCAGGAAAAGTACGAGTTTAAAAAAAAATTGCCAAAGCACTGCGCATGGACATCTACAACACCTGGTAGGTTGCAAATGCGCAACCAACCTATTTAAAAATGGGTCCCGGTTACCTTACTGACAATACAAAGCGCGAAAGTAGGTATAACACTTCTACTTCATGCTGGTCTTCTGTAAGGTCGTGGTAGTTCCGCGGACGAGCCTGCTCATTCGCGCAATAGCAGAGGCTGCTGTGTGGCCCTACCACAGTGAAAAGTTGTTTGCCGTCTTCGACCATAAAAATCACCCGGACTCATATTAGCGTCATTTTGATATATATTCGTGCATATTTATAAGAGCGATAGGGAGGCATCGTGAGAACTCTCCGCGCACACCAAGGCCGAGCGTCGGCCAGTCTGCCGGGATTCGTTCGCGTATCGACCGAGCGTCGCATGCTAACCGCGCCCGTACGTGTGCCGGGACCCTAAGCCCCAACGCTGGCCAACTTATCCCTTCCACACATCGTCTTTAGACGTGTTATCCTTTGTTGCCGCGGCGGATCATTACACGGCCGGCGGAGCGCGGCTCGCCCTAAACGCCCTCGCCTCAGAGGCGACATTCGCGTGGCAATATTCCCTGTGTAATGTCCGACGTGTTAGCGAATGATAAATGTAGGCGTCGGTATCGCGTATCGGATCTCGCCGTTCGCACGCCGAATTAATTTTAATTTATTGATCGCCGTATCGTTGCCGAGTATTTTAGGTGCCTACCAACAGTATGCAGGGTCCGCCGCGAAGCGATACGGTTTACTAACTAATCCGCCCTTACAATATCTAATAACACCACTATGAATGGTTTTTGTATACTCAGTGATAAATCAAAACCTTGGTATAATACTGTGTAATTTATTTAAGAACATTATAATAAACTAGGCATATTTCATAAGAAACCATTATGATAACAGGCACAGCTTTAAATATGATAATCGTGGCATTTACAATATACGTGTTAAACAGTGTTACTGACTCATAAGATATAAAATGATGACTTAATTAATAAATATCAAATATCATTCGGTAAGGATCCGCTTTGAGATTTAACAAACACAAACCCGATATAAAAGAAAACATTACAAACTCCGCATTCGAATTAAGCCGAGGACGTAAATTACCATTTTCCCCGCGCGACATATAATAAATTACGGCAAAAACTGCACAAATAAATTGTTGACAACGCCGTTTATAACCTTAATGTATTTAAATGTAAACACTTATAATGTGAAACGCGCTTAAGCCAGTATTCTTCTACGCACTGGTCCATATATCGAAATGCCTTCGACACTTCTCGCGTCGGAATCTATTAAGGATCGAATTATGGCATCACCTTACCGCGGTGATGTGGTTATTTAATTGACGATATCTCCGTCAGCTGTCCACGAGAAGTTACAAGTCAATTCAATTTTACGCAGATCGGGCGTTAGTATGCAAGCACGACTCACGCATTATACGTTTTTATATCGCACACCGATTTATCGTTATTATAATTAATTCCAGTTATGCCGTAAAGCAAAAATAAACGTTATTTATAATTTACGTAGTATATTTTATGTGCATACGGTACTGTTTACATATAATTTACGTGCGAACGCTACGACATAGGCACCTTAAAGGAAGCATATAATACAAGATGTCGTAAATGTCAAGTTCTCTATCACGTACCTCTCATGGAATTGTATGGTTATAACAACAGATTCTTAAAATACATTTATGACACAAAAGATATTATTTTCCCAGTTTTTATTCAACGACAACCATAGACTACGAAATTTTACTAGCTAATTATTGCAAAATAATCTCTTCTCTATATTTAACTAAAACGAATGTATCCAAAATCGTTTATTAACACAGCTTTATCAAATAAGCCAATCGAAATTACCTTCTCAGACAGATGATCCTCTCAGATATGATTATGAAATTACATTACTATCGTTTAAGGTACAACAAAGACGTATCACCTCCGCAATATCAAATCCACCTTCCTCCACCTCATTGCGATTGTTGCTGTTCATCATCATTATTAGAAGCTGTTTGAGCCCACTGCTGAACACAGGGCTCCGCCACAGTCTGCCACGAAGCCACATGCATCCATCGACATCCCGTACATTTGGACAGGTCGCCACTCCATCTAATGATGGGGATCGTCCCACACTGCGATAGCCAATACGAGGCGGCCTGAGAACTTTTTTCCCCATCAGTTATCGGTTCTACGAGCTATATGGCCGGTTACCTTGTGCCAATTACATGATTGTTTTCTGCGAAAAGTTGTCAAGCAATTAGACGGTTCACCTAATGTTAACTGATTACCACTGCCCGTGGACATCTGCAGCGCCTGAGGATTTGTAGATGCGTGGACAACCTTTTAAAAAGTGGGCCCCTCACCTCACTATCCAGACGAAACGCTAAAGTAAAATACTACCACTTCACGCCAGTGTACAGCGAGGCCGTGATACTTCCCTGATGAGCCTGCCCATCCGTGCAACAGTAGAAGCTGTTGCGTAGCCCTGCAGCCAAAAGGCTGTAATGATCACCCCTCGTCCAATTTATGTCCGGTTCACGCAGTTGCGCCACACATGTCGCGTCAGTATAACATTTACGCACCGAATCGATGCAGTGTCCTCGTAATTCTCGTAAGTGTTGCGCGTCCAAAAGATGTTTTACGACGCGGCGCGGGCGCGTCCGGAATTGTAAAACGTCCTCGCGGGCGGTCACACGAGGAACGCGTCTGATTGGATTATAATGCTTTTATACTACGTTTCTTATTATCGCTGGGCGGCGCCGGGAATAATAACTAGAGGAGAACACCGCAGTCGCGACCCTTTACAAACCTATAAGTCCTCTTCGCCTTGGTTATTGGGTCACGAAATACGCAAGGCTGTTCGTTCATACACGCTGCTTGCAGACTAATGTGTTCTAATGTTATGAATGCGAAAGCTTGTGAACTCATC